GGTGGTGGTGGTGGTAGTGGTGGTGGTGGTGTGGTGGTGGTGGTGGTGGTGGTGCAGTGGTGGTGGTGGTGCAGTGGTGGTGGTGGTGCAGTGGTGGTGGTGGTGGTGGTGGTGGTGGTGGTGGTGGTGGTGGTGGTGGTGGTGGTGGTGGTGGTGGTGGTGGTGGTGGTGGTGGTGGCGGTGGTGGTGGTGGTGGTGGTGGTGGTGGGGGTGGTGGGGTGGTGTGTGGTGGTCTGTTGTTGCTGCTGTTGTTGTTCTTGCCATAGTTGTTGTCGGCGTCGTTGTTATCGTTATCGTTATCGTTGTCGTTGTGCTCGCGGTCGTGGTCGTCGTCGTCGTTGTAGTTGTTGTTATTGTTTTTGGTGGTGGTGGCGTTGTTGTTGTTGTTGTAGCCGCTATGGATCACAGCAGGCTGTGTAGCTTTGCTAACAAGGCTCTGGGTACCAACGCTAGAGGCTCGCAACGTCCCCCTTCTGCGAAGCTTAAGGGACCGTCCTCTTATTGAGCCATAGCCATCCCTGGAGCCACGTGTCGCTGTGATCTACCGGGTCCCAATTCCCGGGCCTCTGTCTGCAGTTACACAACATTGGCAAGAGGTAAGCGGTAGGGTTATCACCTTTCCGCGGGGTGAAGGGAGTCGGATCGAGTTTTCTCTTTCCGGCGAAACTAGCGGAAGGCGCGTCGACTGTGCCTCAGTGCTTTTCTCCTGCCGATGCTTTTACATTTACAAAAGGACCTGCCGCACCAAGCCATTCAAGGGGCGGCCCCAGTCATGGGTTGGCCATCTTCTGCACCTGGGTATCCTGAAGGAAGCTTTCGAGTTGAGGCCTCGTTCCGCTCCTCTCTTCGACTTTCCAGCTACACGACAAGACACCCAGGTACAGCTCTCCTGCGCAGTTTTGCTGGCGCTCTGGTTTTGCGCTTTAACTGGTACACCTCCGCAAGAAGGACACGGATCGTCTGGTATTCTCATGCAGTCTTCTTCGAGCACTAGTTTTTCCTTCAACGGCACAGTGGACTGCCACCGGCTGCTACGAAGCCAGTGCGATCGAGAGTTCTTCGTCACGGTTGAGTGTTTTCTGCGCTTCACTTCTGTTCAGCCGCCAGCGCCTGGGAGCAAGTCAGACTCAGGACAGGCTAGGCGCAACGTGGTGACTCACAACGCGTCAGCATCCTCCCAATGCTGGCCCCGACGGGCATTCCAGGGACTCCTCTTGCTATGGGGTGCCCTTGTGGGCCTAGAGGGGCTATCCTCTCTGGAGGGGGAGGCCTCTCGGGGGCCGCCGGGCCAGACTTGTCTACAAGACAAGGCGCAGATTGGGACACTGGGGACTCAGGTTCAGCAGAGTTGGCCAACGTCTTCAGTTCCAGCACGGTGTCTACCTGGTACGGCTCCACGTCACATCTGGGTACAGTCGTTAAGCGGACGCGCTTGCTGTGCTATGGGTGTCGGGCTACGGCTACGGCCCTCCCAGGTGTGTTCGTTACTGTCCTGTTACCGACGGGGTCAGGCAGTGCTAGGAGTGACGGCCCACGTGTTTTTGCTTGACGACGAATTATCCTTACGGCCCATCGCTGGTAGTCGGGAGTTACCTAGTGTGGGACGCCACTAGACGGGAACTCTGGGAGACGGCTCTTCTGAGTACGACCCACCGGCTGCCAGTTCGTGAGTATTGGACGCAATGACTCACACTGAGGGTGACGGAGGCTACATGACGACGACTTTGTGAGTCGGGCTGTCACGTTAGGAGTTTCGGGCATCGCTCGCGCAAAAACGGGCAACGCCTTTGTAACTGAAGTCAACTTCTTGTGGCCTATCCCCTAGAGGCTGGTGCCCAAGAGCTGTTGCTGCTGTGTACAGTCTGCAGCGCTGCTCTTCTTGACTTAGGCCCTTTTCTCTTTTAACGTTTGTTGCATCGGCTCCTCTTTTTCCTTCACTGAGGATCCTATAGGGGTTGCGCGGTCTTCTCTGTTGGTTTTGTTAGGTCAGTTCGTTTTGGCTTGTTTTACGCGAGGCCTCGGGCCTGACTTCGGTCGTAGTTCTCAGAAACGGATGAAGGAGGTACCTGCGATTCTCGCATGGGCAGTCCCCTCGCGCAAAGCGCCAGTCTGTTTCTTTTTCTTTACAAGGCCGCCGGGCGAAGACCGCGTAACCTCTATAAGAATGTCGGCAGGTCAGATCCTAAGGGAGTGGTGCTAGCTTATGGCTAACCCGGTGGCGCTGGCTCACGGCACACTCGGGGATGGCACGCTTCCGAAGTTTCTGCTCGCCCGCAATGAGCAGAGCCCGCTCGCTCAGCGTCCAATAATAAATTGTTGTTGTTGTTGTTGTTGTTGTTGTTGTTGTTGTTGTTGTTGTTGTTGTTGTTGTTGTTGTTGTTGTTGTTGTTGTTGTTGTTGTTGTTGTTGTTGGTTTGTTGTTGTTGTTGTTGTTGTTGGTTGTTGTTTGTGTTGTTGGTGTTGTTGTTTTGTTGTTGTTTTGTTGTTGTGTGTGTTGTTGTTGTTGTTGTTGTTGTTGTTGTTGTTGTTGTTGTTGTTGTTGTTGTTGTTGTTTTGTTGTTGTTGTTGTTGTTGTTGTTGTTGTTGTTGTTGTTGTTGTTGTTGTTGTTGTTGTTGTTGTTGTTGTTGAAACATATGTGTTTATATATATGTACACACGACATGCATGAAGATCTGTATTGAATCTTATCTTAAATATCTGTGTTTAATCTCGGATCGGTAAACACTTTCTGGACAGTCGGCTCTCTAGTTATGATATAGCATTGTCATTATGGTATTATAAGAGTTTTATAATGGTATTGCGATCGTACCATAGTACGGTAATTTTGTTGACTGTTGTACGAAACAGAAGCAACGAATGCACGAAACTTTTCTTAGACTCAAGTGGCCTCGAACTTCGAAATGTTGGTTAGCGTTGTCTCCACAACAGGTATCGAGATGTTGAAGCTGCCAACATGAGGCACCTGGTATTCCTCTGGAGTGGCAATGTACCTCAGAACAGATTTCGAAACAACAGGACATCTCGACCACTGTCCAACTCATCGCCTGTTGCTGTGAGGTCTTCCACCTCTCAAGAACCTTCGAGTGTGATGTTCATCTGTCCTCCGGCACCAAACCTATCCAAATGCTATGAGCACAGCATAGCACAGCCATCGCCCCATGCATGGTGTGGAATCCAGCCCCTGAGCCTCTCAAAGTCCGAAAGGTGTGGTGGGAAGCGACACTTCTACGTCCCATGGTCATCACTTTGCATCGCTGCATTTTTGAGCTCAAGGCTGAGATACTCTAAGAGCCTCAAGCGCACAGCCACCTCAACAACGACAACAGCGGCAGCAGCAGCAGCAGCAGCAGCTGATTACGTCGACAGCGTCTCACATGGCGCAGCCTCATGGCAAGCGGAGCAGGGGGGAGGGAGGGGAGGAGAGGAGAGGGGAGGGGAGGGGAGGGCAGGGGAGGGGAGGGGGGAGAGAGTGAGGGGGAAGGGAGGGGGGAGGGGAGGGGGAGGGGGGGAGGGAAGGGGCAGTTTTAGTTTTGCGACTTCTCCGGCAACCGCTGGTGGTCCTGGTCAGTTGAAACTTCTTCTTGTTTGATTCGGCAGCTCGCTCAGGTCGAGATTGCGCTGGCAGTCACAGAGACCTTGCCTGCATAGCCTTCGAGGATATCACCACACAATACCATGCATCACCCGACTTCACCCACCGCTGACAGAAGGCATAACACAAAGCCATGCAAGGTTCCCGTCAGCAGCCGAAGCCGTCCGAACCCCTCTCACATCTGCTCTGATTTTCAAGCTAGGCACGGGCTGGAGCAGTAATTGCAGGAAATCGACTGCGCAGCAAGGCAACCACAGAGAGACTCTGGAGCTTTGAATCTTGAGTAACAGCACACCTGTTCACAGTTCTCTGCATCAAGCTCCGGATCGTATTCCTCCAGATCCGGATCCTCTGCTTCCAGATCCTCCTCATCCTGCCCTCTGCCACCGCCCACCTGGAGAGCAGAAGACACGTCCGCCTCACAGCCGTCCGCCTCACAGCCGTCGAGCTCAAGCTCCGTCCCTTTCAGGACGCGAAGAAGCAGGAGACAACTCCAGACGGCAAGAACGGCAAAGCGCGCCATGGCTTACGTTTCAGTTCAGACCTGATCTACCACAGCGACGGAAAGAAGCCCAAGATCAAGATCATCCAACCCAAGATCATCCAACCGTGCACTCGTGCTACCTGTGCGACTTCTCCGACTCGCTGATGAAGCGCTGATGCAGCTCGCCAGCCTTTTTCCTGCCGTTCCTCAGCTTGTGAAATCCAGCGAAAACCCCCAACCCAAGCGCAGCTGGCTGGTGCATCCGCGGAATACAATGCACGCAAGCGATACGAAGCTCGAACGTGTCACCTTGAGCAGCTGCGAGCATCCAGGCGGGCCGTCTGTGCCTAAACCACCAAACTCAAGAGGCCGTCAGATTTGAGAATATGTACAGAAAGCATCTCGGCTGATACTTCAGTTTCACAGTAACGCTGCAGTACGGTTTGCTGTGGTCCGTTTGCGCCTCTGAAGGAGGAAGAACGTCCTCTGTTGGCCGGCTACAAAGCACTTCGGGGTATGGAGCCAGTAAAATCTGAACACAGAGGATCTTGGTCAGACGGACCGAGCCACCTTTCATGAATTCCAAGCTTCCCTGAATGCCCATCTCTGTCTAGAAGAGAGTGGCCACCCAGTTGCCTAATATTGAGACCACAAGCCGAGGACCGAATGCGTAAATCTTAAAGAACCCTTCTCCGCTCAGAATCAGCCTGCTCCGGGACCTGGGAGAGCCGTCACTCACAACCTCCTTTATCGGGTGCTGGCTTTCGAAGCATGTTGGAGCTCGAGGGCGATCAGCCTTCGGCTGTTCTGTCACCGAACCCGGACTAGAAGTAGTCTTTGCCATCGAAAGCACGTAAAGCATTGGCAACGCCAGCAGATTCAGAGCTATGACCACTTCTTGATCGCGCCACTAAGCAGAAAAAGGCTGTGCCAGCGGTTTTTGGGCAGCTGCTTCTAGCAAAGTCTGGCGAATGACTCAGGCATCCGTGGAAGTCATAAGGAAAGTCCAGAACAGCAAGGCAGCGCGGGCATCATTGCAGAACGTAGCCAAACACTGCAGGAGCGGACCCCATGGCTGACATGACCCGTCCTGTAACTCACTGAATCAAACTGTCCCATCCAGGCTCCTCCAATCGAGCTTCATCTTTGGGACTTCAGATGAAATCTGACCAAATGCCAAATGTCTGGGTGCTCCCGGGATCCGGAACGATTCTCCGCAGAGGTGGAGTCAGAATTCCCATGGCTTCATCTAGTCTTCATCTGCCACCGTCATGCAAAGGCCCCTATGAAAACTCTGTCTACCTGCTCTGCGTGGCTTGGTGTGCGATTAGGGCCTCTCACGCGCAGTGCAGTGCTCGAATCTTTTGAGAAGCAAGTTGTGAAGATATTTTTGCCAAGCTTGCAAAACTCTGATCGTGCTTAAATGCGAACTGGAAATATACTCATGCTGCTCAGATTCCAAGGACAAGCAATGGCATCCAAATGGCCTGGCACTGGAATCCACTTCCCGCCTGCCTTTTTTTCTATTCTTCGGACTCACCAAAGATTGATGCAAACAACGACTTGGGAGGACGTGTCAATTCGCCACTTGAAACAACCTGAGCATGGCAGGCTTGAAAACAGCAGGCTGGACGACTCGACAGCGGTTCATCCCGATGCTGTCATCACCTTCAGCATTCAGATGCACTCAGGACCGTCCAAGCTTGGAGCATTGGCATGTGGCACTGGGTCTGGATCGCTGAGTCCATTTGATGACGAGGCCTTGATACAAGGACGAAACCACTTCAGCTGAATCGACTCGAGGCCAAGGGGCCTTTGCAGGGGCTTGGTCTTTGGCTTTCACCTGCCGCAGCCCAGCTCTAGCCCACCGGCCCTGGCTCTGTGGCTCTGGCCTGCTCGTTGTACTTTTTTTGCTTGGGCAGCAAGGCTGCTGGAGCATGATCACTGAATCCGCCAGGTTTGGGTTCCGGCCTTAGTGCGCGGCTAGGCATCCTCTGCAGGCCAATCTTGACATGCACAACGAAGTTTGGCAGCGCACACACCCCACCGCCTCACAACTACGTCCAATAACATGTTGCGACCACTTCTACCCTCCCGATTCCGCACTCCGCCTGCACAGTAGTTTGTCCGGCGTCCAAGGCACCACCGTCCTGATCATGCCAGAATGCTGCCAACGGCTTCGACGCGCTTGTCTCGCTAAGGTGCCTTCGCAACAACGGTGCTGCCTGGCTGGAGGCCTGAAACAGAAAGCCGCACTTGCACCCCGTACTGCTTGTCAGGGGGTTAGTTGGGTATCGGCATCAGGAGAATATCATGGGTGCATGACAGCTGAAGCCTGAAGCTGTGCTTGCATCACAAATGTCCGCTGTAAAACTGCATGACCAGCTAGCCGAGGCTTGTCCCTCTTCCGCTGCCACCTTCTCTTCGAGTGCCTTCACAATATCTGCCTCAGGATGCTGTTGCCTGACACAGGACACTGCATGGCACTGCTCGCACAGCACTCCCATGGATCCAAGGAATCCGCCTGAACGAACGGTAGACCCGGCCGAACTCGGCAAACTCTACATCACGTTCCACCTGGGGCAATCGACAACGATGGGACAACGCCAGCATGCAGCCGTTCTGAGCCTGTGAGTCCTTCAAGGCTTCGGAAACCGCAGCCTTGCCCTCCATCGCTAAACAGAACCTCAGCAACAGTACACCTTGGGGGGAGCTTCCGGGACCCTCGCGTGGCGACACTATACTGGCTTCTTACGTTGAAGGTAATATCAAGGGGATTTTTGATGACTGCAAGATGGCATCTGACCGCCGTTATCGCACCCGGCGTTTCCGCGTCCCACCGGGCCCAAGCGCCCAAAACCAACTGACTTTAAACGCCACGATATAAGCCTCACTACTCTCGCTCTGCCGAACTTGCTGGGTCGGCTACAGTCCCCGTGCTTCGTTGAGCAATCACATCACTCGAAGTACGATTCGGCTCCTTGAGGCTGTTTGTGTAATGCCTGTGTAGCTCGAAACCACCCAGTTCGAAGGGGCTTGGAGTTTTGCAATCGTGTTCAAAGCGTTTCGGCCTCGGAAACCGCTCGTGACACGCACCATCGGCAGAGTTTGTACTGGCGATTTCTGTGACTTGTGAGCAAGTTCACCCATCAGAGAAAAGTCTCGTCGGTCCAGGCTTAGTTTCACACCGGCTTGGAAGCATTAGCAGGACTCGAACAGGTATGAGCCGCTCCCAATCCTGAATTGCCTTCGCAGCACATGGCGGTCCTGTCAAAGCTGCATCTCACATGCCACAAACCAGCCCCCTCAGGTGATACCAACTTGGAAACCTCAATTAATCCCTGACAGTTTCGTGCAAGTCCGGCCCCCAACGAACTCCAAAAGGCTAAGACGGACAATCCCTCTGTTGGATGGTGTTAAAGTGCATCGCGCCAGCCAGCGACTATGTAACATACATACATCAATCAAACGTCGGATCATATGTCGTTTTCGCAGAAATGAAAAGCCGGGGAAAGCAGACATGTTTTCGTGTACATTGCCGTGCATGTTTTCCATTGTCTTGACTTGCGGTCATTTGTCTATGTGACTTTGTGCTTACGTGCGCACTCTTCGTCCGCCATCGCTCGCAAGTGCCAACATGTCCTAGCAACGGCCGAATAGGGGTGGACACACCCGCCACTGTGCATGCAGAGTTAGTTGTCAGGCTCGAGACCGCAACAGTGAGATGACCGCGGAAATTGCGTTTGGCCACACCTGGAAGCAGAAATACCGGAAGAACATCCAGAAACATGCCTATGCTGTCTGCCTACCGGCCTGCTATGTCTTGCTGACCAGGTTACATGCCTCTCCAAGTCTTAGCGGCAACAGCAAACGTCTGTGCCGAAACACATTGACTGCACGTGTCCGAAAAAAGGTGTTTGCCGTCGTGGACGGCCAAAGCTGACATGTCCAAACTTCTTGCTGCCTTCCCGACTGTGCAACTAAATGTTGTTGATGGCTTGGACCAAAGCCTACCAAAAGGGATTCGCTCCTTCGTCAGACTTATCTTCTCCTGACTAGCTTTTTTGATCGACTTGACTGGTGTAACAACTTGCACGGTTGCACAAGCTAGCCCCTGCTTATCTCTCTAATGAAATCAACAAAGTATTCGAGCGGTTTCACTCCTGATCTGGCGCCAAGGTGAGGCTGGCAATGAGAAGGGAGCCAGGGAAATGGTGGGGCGACTCGCATCTATGTCTATTATTGTAGTGCGCATCTTTTGAGCGCGGCGGCTTGGCATAATCATGTACAGATGGAAAACTTCCTAGGTGTATTGGCCTTGTCGGGCCGGCAAATGCCAACCAGCTTTCTGTGCTTTGTCTTTGCCGGATGCTGACAGCGGCAAGTTGACGTGCACAGGCCTGAAAGTGGCTCACCACGCAGAAATGCGACTTGTCAAAATGCAGTAGCTGGGCAGATGCGTGCGTAATCATAATCCGGCAATATTGTTGATTCACCCCACACGAAAGTCGCCATGTTGCCAATTGCCTTGAAACTGCTGACCAGAAACTAGTGTCGATCGTGCAGGTCGAGACAACATCAATGACAACATCGATGCACATCTATGCACTGCGCAAAAGCATTCGAAGCTTGCTGGACAAAGGCTGAAGTTGATGACATGATCCAACACACTGTGTATGGAAGGCTGCACTGTTTTCACATAGTTTCAAAACTTCCGCACAATTTGACACTATTCCCCCCACTTTTGTATGGTAGAAGCATGATACAGACCAACAAAGCTGAGCCGCGGCAAACCATTCGAATCTGCCGAGGTCGAAACAAAAATCTGGTTGTAGAAGTCCGAGCACGTCATGCAGCTCTGCGACTTATTAGGTGCCTGTAAGATTTACAATCGAAAGTGTTTGGAACGTGTATTGGTGTGTTCATGAAGCAAAAGACGAAGAGAGCTTACGCACGCCTGTAGTTTGGATTTGCAGTGACAGCACGAAGCCGTGGTTGAAGCAGAGATTGTCGCAAGGGTCATAAGGGGGCCTGGGCACATGCATGCTGCATACATTTTGACTTTGGAAGCGCTGCTCGGCTGGCCAAAGCCTCGCGAGTCCATGAGATAGGCGACTATACGCCCGGCTAATCGTGAAGGCGTGTCCTTGACACTCTCAAACGAGCTTGCACCCTGGACCGTAGCGCCAGCAAATGCAGCGATGGATGAAGACAACAAGATGCGAGGGGAGAGCTTGGCGATCTGAAGTCGTGTATGGTGGGCTGGACCCGGGCACCGAAGCTTGTCCGGGCGGAAGTTGAACGGGGCCAGCTGTTCAATGGCAGACTGGCGGATGAAAGGCGTAGGATTCCTGCAGTTTCGGTGCCCGTCTCAACCCCTCTGCGCCGGCAGCCCTTCAGACCGTCAAGTTCAGTGGCCGCATGGTTCATTGCCAAGTCGAAGTCGCCAACGGCCTTCGCCGGCGTTTTCAGCATGCTCGCCACGGGGGTCCAAACCCTGGTCCACCTCGACGACGTGGCCATGCCCAAGTCCTCCCCACACTACACTACCTCGGATAGGCTTCGTCCTTGCGGCCCACTGTCCAGCGAAGTTGTCGATGAACGCCACCCACCTGCTCGGCAGCCGCCGGGCCATGGTCCGCCGGCCCGTATGGTGACCGGCGCCACATCTCGAGGACGTAGATGAACGCTTCCTTCGGCGCAACGCCTCAGTCATAGCCCCATCCATTCCGACCGTTGAAGCACCACCCCGTCGCGACGGATCGACACCAGGACGTCCTGGAGAATGTGTTCCCTGGCCGGTTTCTTCGCCTTCGAAGGTGTCGTCTACAGGAAAGCCCTCAGTGCCTCTGCCCCCATCAGCCCGGGCATGTCGACAAACACGTAGTCCTGATGTTCCAGCCTGTGGCGGGCGAGTGAGGCCGACGAACCTGAAGCATACCAGCCAAGTGATACAAGCGAGAAGGTGCGACAACCAGTGGATATTTGTCAATACGGTCATAAAGTCTTGGCGGCACAGCTGCGACTTCAACATCGGGTCCACCCCGAGACAGATTGGCGAGGTTGGTGCTGGCGTGAATATGACGGCTGAAGCAGCCCGGCAAGCGAACATGAGCTCTCGTGAAAGGTGCAGGTTCTATGTGTCTCCAAAACTGTGCACAGGTCAGTCGGCATAGCCTCCGCTGATTCAAGCGCTACGTGTATGGCACCTGAACTGAAGAGTGCAAGTGAACACTGTGCATCAGGTAGAACTTGAGAAGCATACCAGCCAAGTGATACAAGCGAGAAGGTGCGGCAACCTGTGGGAAATGTCAATACGGTCATAAAGTCTTGGCGGCACAGCTGCGACTTCAACATCGGGTCCACCCCGAAACTCCGAAGCGTGCCTCCAGCACCAGTGCGGCCAGGAGGGTCCCCGAGTGTTCTCCCACCGCCAGCTGCTTGGCGGTCTCCTAACCCTGCTGTAGCCCCAAACCCTGAACCTTAAACCCAAACCTCTTCAGCTCCGAAGCCCAAACCCGCAACCCAAAACCCTGAACCCGGACCCCACCCTAAACCATAGACCCAGACCCTGAACCCTAACCCCCCACATCCTCAACCCTAAACCCGCAAAACTAAATTTGTTTGAACTCCGGCCCGTTTCCTAAACTGTGAACCGCAAATCCCAAAAAAAAAACCTAGCCCCCAACGATCCCCAAACCCTATACACCCTGGATCTTGCCTGAAGGCCTAAACCCCGAAGCCGGTGGCTGCGGGACCAGGAAGTCCTCGAGGATGCGCACTGAACCGGTAAGTGGATGTGTACTGGGCTCCCCTACAAAGAGACTCAAGGCGTGGTTTGCGTCGGCTTCATCTTCGAAAACGTGCTGATGGAGCTCAACGACACGGCCAGGGTGTCGGAGTCGGCGGCATCATCCCAACCGGTTCAGGAAAAGCTCCGCATGATCTTGCTCGGCAACACGGAGGCGAAATTGGTCGACGGTTGGCACTGGGGCATGGGGCGTCACTGGAGCTGGAAGCGCTGGTGTCTGAGGGTTCGGGGTTTGGGGCCAGGGGTTTTGGGGTGAGGGGCTCACGGTTTAGGGTTAGGGCCCGGGGTTGCAGAGGGTTTGGGGTTTTCAGTTTGCGCGAGGGTGTTTAGGTTCAGGGATGGGACTACGACAGGGTTGGGCACAGGAAAGTAGCGGATAAGCGGAAATATATTTCGAGGGCAGGGCAACGCGCGGCAGGTCTGCGCTCTGCCTGTCCTCTGCCCCTCTGTTCTCTGCTCTCTGCCCCCTTCTGCCCCTTTGCCCTGGCCCTCTCCCTGTCCTAGTTGACCTTTGGGTTTAATTATGGGTTTCGATTTCGGCTTCAGGCCTACGGTATAGGGTTAAGATAGGAAAAGTTTATAGGATTGAAGCTTTCAAGTTTGTGGTTTAGGGTTGGCCGCAGAACGCTTTGGCGAAAATGTTTGGCGACTGCGCTTTTTCGAATCCTTGTATTGCGGCGATTGGCCGTTATAGCTCGATGGTGGCGGGCAATCTTTTTCTTTCCATAACCAGCAGAGCAGAAGGCAGGGGAGGGCAGGGCAGGGCAGGGGTAGCGGGCAGAAGGGGGCAGAGGGCAGAGGGCACTGGGCAGAGAAGGCAGAGGGCAGGGGCAGGGCAGGCGTTGGGTCGCAGGGTTTCGGCCCGCGGTTCAGGAAGGTTCAGGTAGTTTTTGTGTTAACGTCCCTGTTCCGACACACGAGTTGTTGGGAACCTGTTTGTCCGCTGGCCTTGTAGGAATACGCACTGTGGCTCTTCCTTCTCAAAAACACCAGACCATTCTCATTTGTCACCGAACTGCTCCGATAGGCTTTCCATTGGTGGCTCGTTTGCTCCTTTGCTCTCGCTCTCACCGTCCCCAACGCGTTTTTCCATCATGGTCCCCAGCATGTTAGGTCCTGGGTCTGCACTGTGCACCTCAGAGTCAGCTTGTGACACATCCGATATCTCCAGCCTCACATCGGCACTGTGTGCACCTCCTTCAGCCTGTGCCCTCGGTTCGTCCCGTCCTGTCTCCATCGCCTTTGTCGTGGCTTCACTGCTGACATCACAGCCACCAGGTAGGACCAGCTGTATCGTCACAAGGCCCGTATCCGGCAGCGGGATCTCGTGCGAACTGGCAGGCCCTGAAGGTCTGCACCACCATGCAATGTTTTCCGAGGTCCGTCACTCTGCATAGCGCCATACATCGCCCAGTCATCCCACTCTTGAGCCTTCTGTGCTTGCACTCGGGACCGCTCTTGCTCTTCGCGCTCTCTGTCTTGCTCATCCCACCAGTCTGCCATCTTTCTTTGCGTCCGCCTGCCATGCCCGCAACTCAGCTTCCTCCCATGGGCCTGGCTCTCGGTATGCTCCGGCAAGCTGCCATTCGGCGCTTGACTGTCCTCCGGCAGCCTTGGTCGCGAGGCGAATCCATGGCGTGGATCACCTCGGACGCCCACACTCTAGCCGGAGAAGGGAGCAGCGGTCTGAGCTTACGCCGCCATTGGTCCACGAAGAGGAGTCAAAGTTCTCGCTCTCCATCACCGTGGTGTCTCCTTCGTCCGCCACCGCATGGGAAGCGAACAGCGCCTCGCCTGCAGGCCTGGCTCAACGCGCAAGTGTACGCCGACCTCGGCTTGCCGTGATCGAAGACGGAGAGGACCTCCTCGTCCACGGCTGGCGGCTGCTCCTGTGCGCCGCGCCGGCCGGAGCGATCCTCATCCCAATCCCGTCCCCTTGCCTTTGCCGGTTGCAGTCGCGGGTCTCCAGCGCCGCATCCGTCACCCTGGATGGATCCGCCGACCCCTGAATTGGGCGGTGCTTGGCCGAGATCATCGCCTGGTTAAACGAAACATCGTCCTTCATGATGAGCTTCGCCGGCTACGGTCGCAGTGCGAGTCGGACCGGCGGCCTGTTGAAAAGATCCCATCGCTGTCGGGCCTATCTCCACATGTGGGGAAAAATGGCCTGAGCGATGAGCGCCTCTGCCGCAGGGATGTGATGAATGGTGCCGTCGGGCTCCACGTCGTCCCGGAAAACGGTCGGAAAAAATGGTTGTCGGCCACCAACGCCAGCGTCGCCGTGCGATCGCGCCTTCAGGTACCGACTGTGCGGCGGTGTCGGGTCAGATTCAGCCGTCGACGATGTCTTCGCCGACCTGGTAGTCCCAACTCCTCGGACGGGTGTCGCCTCCTGCACGCCTGCGTCAGAGAGCGACGCCGAGGCACCGTCCGTCGACGGAGGGCAGCCACCAAGTCTTCACCCTCGTCAATGGCACGGCGGATTACCAAAGTCTTCGACGATCTGGGCCACAGAGAACGACATAGCGTCGACGGGAAGAGGCTACGAGAATGCTGATGTCGGGCGACGTGGAGCCGACACGCTACGGCATCTACGTCTAACGCCGGTCGTGTCCTTTCACACAATTCTTGTGTTAAAAAACAGCAGCCCCATGCAACTCCTACTACCGAGATGATTGGGGTTTAACAATCAGGCCCAGCTCACCGGCTGAGCAAAGCAACGCCCCCTCTCCCAAGCCCGTGCAGGCTTTTCTCCACGGCGAGTGGAGATGCTTCAGTTTGGTGATCAAGGTGGGTTTAATGCTACTCCCGCCCTCCTGCAACAGACTACTGCAAGGCTCTCCAACGTGTCTGGCTGGCACCAGTGGATTGCCTTCACTGACCCGAATCGCTGCTGGCGACCGCGACATACCGCGAAAACGGGCGTGTGGGGAACCGGCGGCTTTCTCGCAAACAGCATCTCGAACGGTGTTCGATAGCTGAGCGTCTTTGCTCCGATTCTCGAACGAAGTGGGCATGGACGGTCTTGTCCAGACTGGGTCGAGGAGTTCAGATGTCGGGGTTTTGTAAGGACTGGTTCTGAGATGCAGAAACTTGTTTTTGCACACTGCTGCACCAAGGAAGATCCGCTTGATGCATGCTACACAATCTCAAATGACGCTGTAATCAGGCTCTGGCTTGGCATAACGCTGCTGCTTACCTTGGAAGGCGACAACGAACGTGCCTCAAGAAGTTTCGCAAACATCTGGTTGGTATATAGATTGTCTCAGCCATGAACTCGGATCGTTTTTGAAAGGTTCGTGGCGGGCGGCTGCTCCGTCCATGTCCTGTCGAGATCGACAATGGGCAACAAGCAGAGCAGCCGAACAATCCGAGAGTTCTGATGTCCTGCGTCTGTCCCATGACAAAGTGACGACCAAGAGCAGTGAGCAAGTTCTGTTTGTGCTGGTCGGGTACCCTCCACCTAGCATCGTCTCAACATGCATCTTGCACCGCTTACACACGTTCTCAGACGGCCGAGGACGGGGCAAAGGAGCTGCAGACCGCTGCATGCACACCTCGTCAGCCTGCAAGGCGTTCTACTTTACTTTGGACCGATTCTGCCTCATGTTGATAAAACCTTGTCCAGTTCAGAAACCCCTGTAGAAACTTCCAGTATGCATGTCGATTCGGGTGCATCGACGTTCAGTGGAACACCGGGTCCTCGGGAGGAGCTGGCGGCTCCGCATGGTCATCTTCGGGCGATCGTTCTGCCTGTTGCACTGCAGAGTGATCTGTGAGAGCAGAAAACTTCTGCAGGTCGCACACGCGCTTGCTCGCCCAAAAGCTCAGCACGATATCGCGGATCCAAGAGCCGCTGTTGGCCATGTCTTAGAGCCGAGATTGTATTAGCTTGGACTCAATCCGCTCCGACCGGGTGGTGGGCTTCTCTCGAAACTCCATGAGCTTCCGGTGTTCCTCGCTCCCCTCTTCTGCTTCCTTCACGGCGGGCATATCATTTCTGCAGTCACCTCACTGACTCACTGTTCCACGCACCTGGAGTGGTGAAATCTCAATGAGATGGACACCTTTGTAGCCTCGAGGCCTCACGCAATATCAGGCAGAAGCACCTCCCCCCTAAAGTGTGAAGGAGATCCGGGAATCAGGCACAGGTGGTGGATGCCAGTGCCTGAGATCCTGTGCCTCCTGCGGTTTGTGCATCTGGCTACTGCATGCCATCTCTTCAATGAAATGTCAAGTCCGTCCTTGTCCTGGCCATCCGCACGAACAAAGCCCGGAACGTCGCCAGTCTGAGAACAGGGCGCAATTTTGAGACTTTCAACAACCAGCAGAGTCGCCTGCGGCATCGACCTGACACATGTGGCAATTCGCCAGGTGGGTGAGGGCGCAGGTGGAGAAACGCAGCGTCAGCAAAACTAAGATGCCAGCGCCACAGGTTTAACGTCACTCAGGGCAGCGTGTGCAGTCTCCTCCACTTCCTGTGCTGGCCGTGTAATCAGTGAGGCGCTTTGGGTCGGTCCATGAGCAGCCAAAACACCCTGAAGAAGCTTCTGGCCTCGTCCCTCAAAGAAGGATGGTAGTGAGAATGCTTGTCAGTCTCATGATCATAAACCTGACAGCAAAAAGATCGTTCAAGTCGGAGCCAGTCGGAGCAACGCACCGCGAAAACGCGAAAGGGCCTCTTCCCAGGCCTGGGCCATCAGCAGCAAAGATCATCAAGACAAACTGGCTCCCTGAGGAACTCGCATCGTACTCATCTTGATCAAGGACTCCGGTGCCAAACTGTGCGTATCCGATGCCCTGATGCAGATTTCGAGCAAGCGAATTCCCTCCACAAGCGCACAAGTCCGTGCCTGCTTCGCCGCCAGATTCTTCCCACGTGCACTCGACATGTAGAGCCGTCGACTGTTGGGAACGCCTCAAGGATCAGCCAGGCACTGTTTCTAATACCAGCACATCATCATCTTATCGCAGCAGGAGGGCTGTTTGCAGAACAAAACCTCGAGCCCAAAGTGTAGCCGATGCCATGCAGATCATTCTTACCTGGAGTGCTCAAGTGCTCTGGCACGCCGTTTGAGGTCTGCATGGGCTCGAGGAGCCATGGCCAAGCAGGTCGGCTGTTCTTCGCCACAACCTCTCCAACTCAGCTTCCAGAGCCGAGCTGTTGGCCACCTGAAAGAGGCAAGAATCTGGCGGAAGCCCCACACAGCATGCCTTAGACTGTATGAGGCTTGGACTTGCGAACCACTCTTTAAAGTAGCAGCCAACCTGCACTTGCAGTGAAGAGGCCTCCCTGATCCGGAAGCATACGCACCTTTTGCCAGTTTGCTGAGGCCACTCCACTCCTGACGAAGAGTCGAAGAGGAAGCACGACTGTGCGTTTCGTGCCAGTGCTTGGCATGGCTTGGCATGGCTTGGCATGGCTAGGCATGGCTTTGCTGAGCGGCAGTCCCGCAGCTTCAGAGGGAGCTTGGTAGCCTGTCACATCTGGTCTCTAGCTCGCCACGGTCTTCAAAAGATGCGGGCCGCCTGGTGGAGGGCGAGCACAGCCATACGACCTCTAGGCTCAAGGCAATAAGGCAGTACAACTCTCTCGCCTCCAGTCAAACTGAGCTCTCCGCTTCTTGGGTTTGACACTGGAAGTCGCGGCGGCAGGCTCGGGCAGTGCAGTCTCAGATGGGGTCACGAGACTGCTGGCGCGCCTGAGCAGATTACTGCACTACCATGTCCTTTCTCTCTCTCTCTCTCTCTTTCTCGCTCTCTCTCTCTCTCTCTCTCTCTCTATCTATCTATCTCTCTAACCTCGCCATCTTGTCCCATGATCTGTTCTTCTCATCAATCATGCAACCGAGGTGCAGCAGCCGTGTCCCCAAGCGATCATCGCCTGTGAATAACCTGAGCAGAATCGCGCTCGGCAGCACCTCGACCTTCCCATACCGGCGAGGTTAGGGGTGAAGAATCCACACCCCCAAGTGCTATGCCAAGAGCGACAGAAACTGCTCAGACGCCAGGCAGGCAAGGATGAGGGGAGACGTGAAGGGTCACCGGGCAGGCGCCAGGCCCGATCTAAAGACAGCACCGCCCTTGGGAAAGGGGCTTGGCCGAAAAGCTAAAATGCAATGAACAAGTTTGGAGGGTTCAGTCTCTTTGTGTCGCATATCAAAACATCCTGCGCTTCGGACTGGTCTCGATGCATTGTCTCATGACATCTCTGGCGCAGGCCCACCCGGGTAGAGATCCACGGACAAAGCACACCGTCTGCGATCACAGTGGTCGTAAAAGCCGGCTTTTGACTGCTAAACTCAGTGAGGCTGTTTTCTGACACCACCAACGGTCCACGACATGAACCGCCAGCCCCGGCAGCATTGCACAAATATGATCACCGACACGAGCATGCGTACCAAGTGCCAGGCTCTGCTTCCAGCTGCCGGGGCAGTCCGTTGGGCAGCCCTGCAGAGCCTCGCCGTTTGGCGACACATCGCGACCGTCGAGGACAAGCAGAACCCGTGCTCAGCGGCTTGGCCGCGTGCTGTTCGGTGAAGGTCCTTGAGCGCTCTCGAACTCACGACCTAAGCCAATCCATCTCACATCTGGGATCCGTGTGGTCCTAATCTGTTTGTCGTTGCATGCACATGCTGCTCTGCATCTACAAAGCCAGAGCCGTGGACGAGCTGCGATTGTCTTCCTCGAAGAACGATGGTCACGCAAGTCCTGTCGACAGAAGCGAGAAAGCATGGTATAGGAGCGAAGCGAGAAACAAAAGCGCATCTCCTCTTCATCCATGAAATCCTCGACCTGCAAGGCCGCTTCGGCATGTCGTTTGGATCTACCTGGAGTGAGAAGCGGACGCCGTCAACGGCTGTGACAGTGAGCTGTAAGCGGCGGCTGAGGAATCAGCTCGAGCTGAAAGATGCCGGCTCCCACCCCTCTTTGCTCCCTACAGTGCCTTGGCACTGGCATGTGGAGTTCAGCCTTCAAGCAGTCTGCGGGCGCTGGACCCCAGTAGCCAGCGCTGAAGCCTCCTTCGAATGCCCCATAGAATGTCCGCTCGCCACGAGCCTTCGGCTTTCTGGATGCAGTCATTTGCGAAAAGGGGCTGGGGGCATGCTCTATCATGCTCTGCGTGGCCTTAGCGACAGTCCCGTCTGGACGTTTGACCTCGACATATTCCTCCTGGCAAGTCTCATGCCCGACTGTCGCATCCTCGGGAAGCAAAACCCAAGTGCCACCCTCTTAGAGCGTTTGCCGAGGTCATCCAGCTCATCCACATCGTATCTGCACACGAGACGTCGGGCATTGGGTTAACGAAAGCCCGCAGTAATTTTAACGGTTGCACCCCAACGTCGAACTTGTATTCTCTCTATATCTTCGTGGCTCGAAACACCTCACAGCAAGGAATTTGGACTACTCGTCCGTTTTAACAGCCATCGCAAAAAAATCTGTTGAACCGATGAAGCAGGACTCAGCGAAAAGGAGATGAAAAGGCAAACATGTGCAACCTCAAAAAGTTACAACCGCGGTGCTTCACTTCGAAAATGCATGTCCCAATCACGCACTCTGAAGGCAAGTGTAAGAGTCTGCTGGAGACTGAGGATGGGCAAACTAGGATCGCGTCGTATTATGCTTCCCATCTTCAACAACATGCCAAAAAGATGCTTTACAAGCACACCCGTCGTACTCAACAAAAAACGGAGGCGGTACACTACCAGTAGCAGCCGTTGCTTCAAAGCAAACACGATGGCCGCTGCTGCAACCGATGCCTTTGATCATAACGTATCATCATGACCATGCTGGGTATGACGCGGCTGACGATGATCATCTGGATGGTGAGGATGTTGATGATGGTGATAGTGGTGATGGTGGCCACCAGTGGCGTGGCGGTGGCACAAATCATTCACCAACACAATGGGATGACCCCATATCGTGTTGGTGCAGGCCTGGAGAAGCCCTTGTTCCTTTCCAAGAATGGCCGCCACATCCTGCGTTACGAACGGTGTCACGGTTCCTAGCAAGTCCCGCGCTCGGAGGATTCGATACGGGGCTGCTTCCCCTGAGTCCGGTTGTTTCCCAGTCGAAGTGCTTATGGTCGGTGGACGGTCCCTTGACGAAGAGGCTACCTCCGGTTCGACCTTGGGAGCACGTGCTTCTGGTCCCCGCAGCTCCCCTCGGGCTGCTAGAAGTCTGCCGTGAGAGGGGACTTTGCCATGGGCTTGTTGACTCTTCTTCACGCTCTCGGCGTAGTCCCCGGCGGCAGTGTCCGCTTCGCTTCCCGGAGCTGGGCGGCCAGGTGGACGGACAGCTGGTTCCGCCGGCTGCCTATCGTCGGACCGCTGTTTTGAGTCGGGGCTCTGTGACTAGCACAGGCCTGGGCTTTTGCGGTGCGTCGCGAGCCTCGGTCGCTGCATTTCTTGACGGAGTATGGGGTCCACGAAAGGTTTCGTGGCAGGGGGCTTGTAGCGATCTCCTGCCTCCATGTAAGCCAAGCTGGTTTGTCGCCCTGTTCCATGGCGTAAAACCGCTTCTTCGCACCTTTTGGCTGCCCGAGCCCGCTGGCCTTATGAGCTGGCTCTCTCTTGCTTGTTTGCTTGCTTGCCAGGCCCAACAACCCTGCGCACGAGCGCTACGCCGTTGTCCAATTCTGGTGTGAAACTAGTTTCGGGCTTTTCAACGAGGCCCTCTCCCCCAGGGCAAATCATTTATGCCCTTGTGCGCATTGCGTCCCCGGCCTCCCAGCTCTCTCTCGCTCTCTCTCTCTGTCCCGGGCATGAGGGCCGATCAAAGCCCCCGGGCATCATGCCCACCCGATGTGTCATCGGGTAAAGGGGAGTGAAGATCGAGTGTAGGTCATTGCAAGGCTATTGCCATAAAGACTACGACATCGAATGCGCATGACCGTACACTCTCACAGAAAACATGCTTTCAGTCAGTAGGAATTCCCGATTCTCTCTCTCTCTCTCTCTCTCTCTCTCTCTCTCTCTCTCTCTCTCGCCGCAGAAGAGGGTGTTATCACCGGCATCCTGAGGACGCAGCGCCTTGGCTCCCAAAACCCTAATCGGTCAAAGGCTGTATTCCCGCACCGTATAGCGCCCTTGAACCAAGTCAGCCTGAATCAGCAGACGAATACAACAAAGCTCCCTATCACCAACACCATCATGCTGACCGTTGGACTGCGAGTCCATGGAGCTCGGTGCAACAACAGGCATGCGAAAGCACCTGGGACGGAGGTAAGGCAATCAATGGCTCTGTGCCTCGGTTATCATCCGTTGAATGGGAGAGCGTGCCGCCACAAAGGCCGCGTGATAATGACCAAGGAGGACCATGGGGCCCGGGTGACAAACTACGCGAGCACCGTGGCCACGCCAGGTGCTGAAGGATGCAACAGAGCTGAGCTTTGACTTGCTCCAAGTTCAAGGGCTCTTGCCGTGCCATGTCCTAGCCCTTTTTCTCCGGGTTCCAGCAGATACACAAAGTATATAGTTGTCCTTCCTGACGTCCATGTGGCGGCGCTTCTCCCGGTCCTCTGGTTTGGCCTCCGCCTGCGGGACCATCCAACAAGGTTTTGATCAAGCAGTGCACCAGTGCACCAGGGTGGTCCAGAGTGTGGCGTTGATCTTTTTGTGCGGAAATAATTGGTCTTGAGCTGATGCCAGTGCTGGGCTGCGGCTACTTAGTACAAGGGCTGCACCACTGTCCAATCCTTCCGTAGCACCGCCCACTTAAGGATCGCACGCGTGCGCAGGAACAGCATGAGCCCGTCCGTGAAGGTAGGACACGGAGTCGGCGTGGCAGAGAGTGGGCCTGCCCAGCGCCAGGACAATCTGATTTGGATCCTCCTCGCTGCACTGGCCCATTTGGGACGGCCAGGCTTGGAATGCTTTGCATGCTGGTCCTCGCCGTGGTCGGCCTCGCTGCCGTCGCACATTGCGCGTGCTCTCCGAGGGCTCCGAAGGGGCTGCCGACGGCAGGGCTGTAGTTGCTAGTGTCGGTGGTGGACCGAACATGCCCACGCTTATGAAGTGAATTCTTGACTGCCCCGACCCAGCACCAGGTCCGGGGCTCCGGTGCACTTGCACGGCTTGGTGTCACCGCTCTGGGCTTGGACCCAACTTCGCACTTTGGATTCTGCATCACATCACGGATGTTTGCATCGGACTTTGGATTCTGCACCACGATTTTTTGCATGTGTCTTTTGCATCTCCGATGACACACAGGGCAGCGCTGCAGGTTGGCATGTTTCGTAATGCAGGTGGCCAGTACTTGCAGAGATCCGTGTCGCATGACTGACTGGGCTTCCTGATTTGCAAAACGAGGTGTTTCCACTGAGCGTGGTGTATCAGCCAGGTTTCCCGACGCACGGCAAGGCCATACTGAGGTACTCATACGTTCCACATGCGTACTCGGAGTCTCGTCGGGAGCGAGCGGGCGAGAAGAAACCTTTGCAAGCGGCGAAAAGGATTTCAGGACTGCTTGATTCTGTAACCACTGGTGTGCTCACCTCTTATGGGGAGAAGAACCGAGTCCTGGGCTGTCTCTACCTTCAAGACTCGACCTGGCCTGTCTTTAGGGCTTGAGAGCACAAGCCTCTGCATTGCCGCCCAAGGAAATGGGCACTACGGTTGTCTCCTGAGACACCTGCCTACCTAAGTCGGCTAACATGGTCAGAACCAGAACCTTGTCTACTTGAGCAACCACACAGTTTAGATCCACCAAAATGCGTGACGGTCACTTGCAAAGGTGGTGATCTGCCTCGTGAATAGGTAAGTGTTCAGTCGCTCTAGCACTAGCAGCGAGAGTGCTGCCCAAGGGAGGGGCGCCAGTCCACATCCTTGACGTAAGGCAGTTCCTGTGCTAATCTCTGCGAACAGCTCGCCTCGGGTGAATACCAGGACGGCTCATACATGATAAGCTGAATGAGATCCACCCTTAGCTCGAGCAAGGCAGCTTCTTGGTGTGTTCGCGGTATCCACACCTCTGATTTTGGCCCTGGTGGCCGGAAGCATGGCAGCAGCCACTCTTCCACGGATTCCTTGCTGCGAGCATGTACTCTGTCTATCTATTGCGTCACTAGTCACTATAGTCTGTCTGGCCCAAGTACAGCCGAGTTGAGGATGCCGTGAGAAGGCAGCGGAGAGGAGAGGCCAGCCGCTGGCCGGCCACCCGTGCAAGTATTTGGGCGATCGCTCGGTTTTGGCAATAGAACCGCAAAAGCTTTATGCATATGCCAAGATGTAGCAATGTAGGCGTGTAGATGGGCCCTCGCCCGGGCCTTCTTGCCAAGTCACGGCACAACACCTCTACAATGGAGTCCTGATGGAGCATGATCCCGGGCAGAGCTTTAGCTGAACAATTCAAGTGAATTGACCTACGCGGACGCCAGGCCTTCATCAGACTCCATACATGAGTAAATCCCCTTGCATCCGCTGCTTCTGCCTCCTTGATCATAGCCGCTCCCTTCCCCTGTTCTCCCGGTGGAAACACAGCTTGGGTCGCCTGGCAGTGCTCTAGTTTTCTTTGCACGCAAGCCAGGACGCAAAGACAGCCTTGCCCAGCGTGCAATTGATGTGCACACGCTCCTCCGGCCCACGGAACATGCGGGATTGAGGCCGACTCAGCTCAGCCCGTCGCCGCTTTGCGGTGATCCTCCAATATGTCTTGAAGTCTACAGTGGGCATGTGCCCCTGAGGCAACGTTCTTCCAATGCATTGCAAAAGACTGGAAAGCTTGCTCGAGGACAATGTCAATATTATGCTCAGCAGCAGCATGCAGGTTGAGAGATGGGCCTGTGCATTGTCGCGGAAACTCTGTCTACGCTCCGGAGACTGCAAAGACTGCTGCAAGTGGTGGTGCTGGTGGTGGTGGTGGTGGTGGTGCTGCTGCTGCTGCTGCTGGCGGTGATGATGATGATGGTGACGGTGATGGTGATGGTGATGGTGATGGTGAGGGCTGGTGATGCGGGTGATGGTGGTGACGGTGGCGATGGTGGTGATGGTGGTGCTGGTGGTGCCGGTTGTGATGCTGGTGGTGCTGGTGCTCAAGGGGCCATGGTGATGGTGATGATGATAACGACGACGATGATGGTGATGATGAGGATGGTGCTGGTGCTGGTGCTGGTGATGGTGCTGGTGATGGTGAAGGCGAAGGTGAAGGAGATACAGATAGTAATGGTGATGAGGAAGATGACGATAACGATGAAGATGATGATGACGATGATGATGATCAAGCTCCACGGCTCGCAGCACTGAGTGCCCTTGTGGGGTTCTGGTTTCCTTCTTGGGGGTCGCTTCGCGGTCCGCCAACACGGCGACCGCGCGCCGTGGAAGAGTCCTCAGAGTCGGAGTCCTCTACAAGCTCTGCAGACGATGATGAAAATGGCCACGACGACGCAGCAGCTGCGGACGACGACGCGGCACCGGATGATGGCTGGTGGTCAAATTCATCTCTTATCCTTGAAGGTGAGGAGTTGGACTCAGCTCGCAATGTCTTTGTCAACCTGTACCGCCGCCAGCTACGGGAGGAAGATGAAAGGCTTAACAGCCGATCGTTGGCTGCCAGAGTTGGGGCACTACGCCGCGTACTCAACCAACTCCCCTGGCAGCGGATCTAGGGGTTTTCCTCGCAGCGCCTCCGGGGCGCCTACCTGCCAGAATGGTCGGACTACGAGTATCGCTATACACATGTCTACCACCCCGGCCGCAGACATCACGATGACGATGACTAGGAGCCGGGACCGGGGCTCGCTAGGCCGACCGCGTAGCTTGTGTGCAAATAGGTTTCAGACCATGCGCGGGCAGCATGCCTTCAGCCTGAAACTGCAACTTGCAGACACCGCAAGCGTCGCGCATGCAGGCGTGCGCAGTCGCAGCGGCAACACTGGCAAGTGCAGCCGAACATGGCCGACCCCGGCAGCCGAACTGCCCGCGGCACAGGACAGCCAGCGTCTTCTCTAGTTGAACCCCGGCAAGCCCCGGGTAGGCCCCCAAGTAAGCCCCGTCACCACAAAGATCTTTTGATAGACCCCAGCACTAGGAAACACAACCCAAGTAGCTGCAGATCACACCACGACGTCTCACCAAACAGCCGCTCCGGTCCCAAGTCCGGAGGCCGTAGATTAGGAAGTCTTATCCACTTGGTCTTACTACAAGCTACGGTTGGTTGGAGAGAGGGTTTCCTCCGGAGTCGCGACGGAGGAGGGACCTGGTCTTGGACATGCTCCGCTACCAGGGAAGCGCAGCGACACCGCGCAACCAGGCAGGGGAACCTCCTTAATTGGGCATAAAAAAGAGCCTGTCGCCGAGCCTTGTCCTCTCCGCAGGAAGGGACAATGTACAGGGGCAGATGGCACAGCAAGCAGGCACTCGCGCAGTTGCAGCACAAACCCCAAGTTTCCCAAAACCCTCCGAAGGTCAATGGCCATCACAGACATGCTTCTACCAGGCCTGCTCTGAAGCTGTCAGTGCTCAGCTGGAACGTAGGGGGTTTGGCTTCGCACATTCTCCAGGATTTACTGGCATCGCTAGCCACACACGGCGTGTGGGATGTTGTCGTGCTTCAAGAAACACACTGGGGCATAACAGAAGACTTCAGGAGCGGTGAGTGGAGCTGTGTCCACAGCTCTGGCCATTCTGCAAAGGATGGTCCGGACAAGTCGGCGGGCATCCTGATCATGGTGTCTTGCAAGGCCTTCCGCAACATTTCTGCACAGGAGCATGTTCCAGGCAGACTTCAACGTCGACATACTAGGCCTTTATCAGCATGTGCATCGCACCACCTTGAGTGCCAGCCAAAATCGACGACTCCGCCAGGGAGTCTGGCACGCACTGCAGCAAACCCTTGAGACCATACCTGCTGGAAATAAGGTCATCTTAGCGGGGGATTTTAACGCGACCCTTAGTCATGCCCCTCCGGGTGTAGGCCCCTCGGTCCCTCAACCCGACACCCATGATAACTACGATGCCACCTTGCAGCAATTGCTCCTGGACTACGAGCTGTGCGCACTCAACACATGGCACTCGCGGCCAAAGCACACATTCTTCAACACCTCCACCCGAAGTCAACTGGACTACCTCATTGTGAAGTGTACAGACGCTGGTGCAACAGCCAAACTATCAGCCCCCTTGACAACATTCCCTGTGACCGGTGACCGGTTGTCCAACCATATCCCGGCGCAGGCCACGCTGCAGCTCCGACCCTCACGGCACCAGCCGAAGGACCAAAAGGCACCACCGGCCTTCGACAAAGCAGCCTTCCATCAAGCCATTGAATCTGGTGCACCGCAGGCCAGCCTGCTGCAACAGGCGGTTTCCGCCCGCGTCAGAGCGCTGCCAGCGTCAGCCTCAATCACCTCACTGCATCAGGAAATAAACAGCATCCTGCTGCAGGAGACCAGCAGGTTCTTCCCTCCACAGGGACGAGCAGACCACCGGGTCAGTGCCGATCTCGGCTACAGAGCCAGTGCTGCTAGAACGTGGTCTCTTTACCGGGCAGTCAAACGACCAGGCGTTGTCACACTGGCCAACATCTGGCAGAGGTGGCGCGTTGTTGCAAGTTTTCACAAAGCCTCCAAGGAGCTAAGACGACAAAGCAGACAGCTCAAGGTAGCCTTCCACCGAAACGCAGCTCCGACAGGCTGAAGAGGCGGCTGCATCTGGTAACCTAAGAGAGCTTTTTCAAATCACTCGACGACTAGGGCCCCGAAAGGCTCGTGTTGCCTCCCGCCTCAAAGACGAGAATGGCAACATCATGACAGAGCAGGCTGAACTAGCTACCGTGATGAAATATGGTCGGGAAACCTTTGCAGCTCTCCCGGACAGCAGACAACAGCTTCCTCTCCTTGAGGACCTCCTTCGACCCGGATGAGATATGGTACGAGCTCTCCCATCTGAAGCACCAAAAGGTCGTTCCGAACCACTGCGCCCCCAGTGC